TCCCTAAGTAGATCGAGCCTGGCCTTGTCCAACCTATTGCCTAGCTCTGTTACGGAGTGAGTCGCCAAGGTCAGGAAGATACATCCAATTTCCGGCCGGACATGTCCTGCGCGAATATAAGGAGCATTTCCGCGAATCTTTCCCTGATTGGAAAAGGTCACATTGATCCGATTTCGGATTGTCTCAATGTCGACGCCCTCTGGTAGGGCAACCTTCTTCCGGGTGGCGAAACGCATGGTGATGTGCCTTCCCCTAGCATTCGGGGTTGGTGATGAGCGCGGTGGTGGTGGTACCGAGTTCAGTGGGTCCGGGGGTCCCATTGGTACCCGTCGGTATTCCGGTCGTGCCTGAGTCGTACCTATCTTGACACCGGCCAGTGCTGCCGGCCCAGATTGAGCCGTTGTGGCAACAGGTCTCGTAACTTTGGGGGCTGATTCCTGTTTATCAGCCTTCCCCTGGGTCTTGGCTGGGGTCGCCGCCTCCCTTTCATCACCAGATTCTCTGGCAGCCTTTCTTCTCCTTCTAGCAGCACCACTCAGGCGTCTGCCCTGCTTCCTTCGTTCTTTCTTCTTATCTTCTTCCTCTTCCTCTTCCTCTTCCCAGTGAACAGACTTGCCTTCACCTCCCTGGGCTACTCGCAAGACTACCCCCCCTTCACTGGAGGAGTTGTCGCTGTTGCTGGACTTGCGTGATGAGGCCGCTGATGCGGGCCGAGCGGGACGTACCTGTTCCTCTGGGCCAGCGGGGGCTTTTGGCATGTATGCCATTCGTTTTACTACCTCTGTAAAAGAGGCTTTAGCAGCAGGAGCCTCCGTAGAGGCTTCCTTTCTCTCCGGGGCAGGGGATGGTGTGGTCAGCTCCGAAGAAACAACGGAGGTGCTGCGAGGTATAGCAGGGGGTGTGCGGCGGCGGGGCGACGATTTTACCTGAAGGGCTTCAATTTCCTCTCCTTGCCTGCCAACAATGTCGGTCAGTGCTTTTACTGCCCGTTCCAAAACATGAACTCGACTCCAGTAGTTTATCCCGTTCCTTGGACCATCGTCGTCAAAGGTGGGACCACTGTTCATCCAAGTCCGTACATCCTGTACTGTATCGTCCTCAATCGACCCAGACTCCGAGGAGAGGAGGGGTTGAGTATTACCAGACCAGATATCCTCCAGGCCTTCCAACATGGATCCGATTATACTTCCTGAGCGGGGTCCACGCGAGGGGGTCTTACCAGCATCCAGCATCTCACAGACACCTGCCATGATTGAGTCCGCCTGGGCCACTACCATGTCGGCATCCTCAAATTGGATTTCTGGGAGCTGGACTTCCAATGGGGTTGAATCACCACTGGGGGTTTCCAAGGGGCCCTCCAGTTGGCTTCCTGGAAGTGACATCCATCATCCAGTAACAGGCGGAGGTGACGATTCCATGGCTGGTGAAGGGGCGTGTACGCTGTCGCCCAAACCGGTCACTTCCGAGTTGCGTCCCTCATCCAGTTCCATAGGAGTGTCCCTGGCCAGTACCTCAGAGGTGGGTAGGATATCCTCAGTCATTAGAGAGGATGGAGAAGGGGGTGTGGCTTCAATCGTTGATGGGAGCATCACAGGTGGGGGGATGGCCAGATGCCCATGGTGAACACCCAGGGGTAGGCTGGGAAGAGCGGGGACAATCTCTTTTTTCCGTCTCTCATCAACATTGATAGCCCTTAAAAATTGGGGACCAAGGAGAGCAGCAGCAAATCGCTTAATGGGAGATGCCCACCGTGTCCGGCGGCGCATTCCAGAGGCAGGAGTGTTGTAATCCTCGTCATCAGGGTCGTCCATCTTAAACTTCCGGGTTTCGTAAAGAGCCCTTTCGCCTGAAGACATTGCTGCCAGAAAGGAGGGAGTCGAGGAGCCGGCCTTGGTATTATGGGCCTGGCAGAAGAAGCTGGGCATCTTGCTTTGGACAGCCCTAGCGAGGGGAGGAGTAGTGGACCAAGAGCTGGCCTCAACCGTGGCAGCAGTCGAGTCGTCCTTGGCGGGGGGGATGGAGGATTCAGGGACTACAGCCGGAGAATCTTTTGGAGGAGAAGGTGCGGGAGCTGGAGAGTATTCCGAGCCATGGTCCGAATTGAACCGAACGAAGAGTCCCGTGGTAGTGTCCTTGTTCAAGCCACACGTGGCTGAACAGCCTCTCCCGATCAGGAAACCTCTTACCAAAACCTCCACTTCTTTCATCGTGGCAACGGTCGCGTCAGCGACTGTTTGCCGAACCAAATCATCAAACTGCGGGTTAACCGCGTTCTGACACCCGTGGCAGTGGTGGAACTGTAAAAACTTAAAGTTTCCCCTGGGTGCAACATAAGACCGTGTAGTTGTAGGGACGAGGCCACGGTTGGTCTCAGTAGCAGGCGCAAGAGACAGGGCCGCACGGGCTGTCTCAAGCGAGGAGGAGGGGTTGGAGTCGAACCGGACAGGGGACGACATCCTCGAAGGGGGGGGAGAATCCGTGGAGGAGGAGGCTGTCGAAGACGCCATCATCGCCCAAACTATAATCAGTGATTACCGGGACCAGGCCACGGATATCTCACACTGAAGTATCTTCTAAGCGAGAACTACAGCTTCTAACCGACCGCCCGAAACGAAAAACACAAACAAGTAACAGTAGATGAAGTATTTATCGTGAGCGAAATAAGGTAAAGTATTGGGTGTGCTCACTTCCGACACGGAGTACAAGAAGTAGGAAAAGTACTTAGAACAAAGTGTGAAGAACCTATCCTCCTTGGCCACCTCGGCCTCCTTATATAGTGTTCTTCCCGCTCATAGTCATGTGACCCAAAGTGGTCCCATGTGCAAAACCAAATCATAACAAACTAGTCATGCGACCAAAGTGGTCACATGCTCAAAACCCATGACCTCATAGCAAGGTCGTGTACAAAAACTCATAAACCAATCATAACACAATAAATAGGTCATATGACTCGACTGAGTCATATGAGTGAAACCCATGACCTCATAACGAGGTCATGTGTGAAACATAAATCATAAGCGTAAGGCATACCCGCAAGGTACACTCGTAAGGCATACTCGTCAAGCGCACATCTCATGACTCATATTTGAGCCATGTGCGAAAGTATCACAAATCTCACACATAACAAATCATATGACCTGGATGAGTCATATGTGTGAAACAATAACATACCTGTGACTCATAACCATGTGTCTGTTAGGCGGAGACAACTTGATAGACTTCAAGATTGTCTAGGCCAATTGAGATTCGTTTTCGTAGACGGAGATTGTCTAGGAAGGGTGGGACTTGACTCCTTTTGTTTATGACTACAAGGAGTGAAGTACGGTAGGTAAAGTAGAGTAGAATCGTAAAAATAATATTATATTGTTAAGGACTCATCTCCGTTGCTTGATGATGTCTAAAGCTTGAGAGGCACTACGATATTTATATTCCGCGTCTAAGTGTTCACGGACTACATTTAATTATCATACAACTATGCACTCCTTTAATCGTAATTCACAATGTCGAGTTTTCTTCCAAGGTGCGAACACCTGTGGACCCTGAAAACCATTACACCCTCTTCGGTAATTACGATATTTCTTCTTAGGAAATGTACAGTCTCCAATAGTAATATCCCGATTAGTAGAATCTTAAAACTTATGGCCTAGTTCTTAAGTCGAACTGAGTTGATTCCAATTGTCTTCGCTATTGATAAAATGATTAGTTTTATCCACGGCTATATCTGCAAAGGTGGTCGTCATTACAACCATCGTAGGTTATCTGACTCCGATACTTTGTAACTCCATACCCAACCAATAGATGTTCTCTGGATGACTTCCTATTAACTCGCAGGAAGCTATTCTACCAGATTGGTAATTAATTCCTCGGTCGGCAATTCTTGGTTGCTCTCTGGGTAGTAGGTTTCAGTAACCATTGTAGTATTGAGTATCACCCCATGGTTACGACATGTTCTGAAACCCAGTTGCAACACTCCGTAAAGTTTGTTGGCTTCTTTGGTAGTGTCTTTTGGAGTTCTAGACTCTTCTGGTGGATGTAAATGTATTGGTCTCTAGTAGAGATCCTTTACCATTTGATACTATCTCTTTCTGCGAAATCGTCCCATTACCTATAGCCAGTGCCAAAGGTATCATGTCTTTGGAGCCAGATAGCTCTCTGCGTAGTTGACAGAATCACTCTGTTCCACTTCTCAGACCTAGATGAAGATCCCCTGTCAAATACCCTGGGAACAGGATCCGGTCGGACGGACGGCGGCGACGTATACGGTGTTATTCTAACACCTTCAATTCTGTGGTAATATAGTCACAGGACCCAACTGAGATTGATATATATGATGACGTGCGGGCCCCGTAAGAGAGCCGGAGGGGGGTGTTGGAGACCAGAGATTCCAATTCCAAGTAGGGTTACCCTACTCTGGGTGGTTCCTAGGTATCAGGTTCTGGTATTCCTATCAGTGTCACGTGATATGATATGTGGTCTGACTTTGTGGATGTTGTCCGTAATTCGTACCGAAGGGTGTTGTGCCGATCATTTCTTGCTTTCCATTGTTGTATGTGAATTTGGCCATTGATAACAGTTTGTACCAATCATCTTGTTGATAATTGACGTAGGCTCTTAAATATTGTTCGAGTATCGCATTTACCCATTCCGTTTGTCCATCCTTTTACAGGTGGAACGCTGTGCTCATCCTGTTTTTTATCCCCATTTTTCCGGTTACTTTCTTCTATAGTCCCGATCTGAATAGTGTTCCTCGATCGGTAATGATATTCTTTGGGAGTCCGTGAAGTCGGAAGGCTTCTCGGAAGAATGTTTATATAAAATCCCTCGCATTGATATCTTTTTTGAATGGAATGAAATGACTCATTTTGGTCAGACGATCCACTATGATGAGGATGCTATCGCAATTTTCTGAGGCCAGTATGTCGGTGATGAAATCCATAGTAATAGTTTTCCATGGTCGTTCACGAATTTTGTTTGATTTTAGCAATCCATATGGTGCATATTTAGCTGTTTTTGTCCTTTGGTATATGTCGCAATTTTTCACATTTTGTTTGACATCGTCGCGCAGCCTATACACGAAGGAGATTATAACTTACTAAACGGGGTTATCAT